CATGTAAGATACTGTACATAGATGTGATTCATGAAAAGCTATGCCCACTTTAACAGAAAGCCCCAATATAAGGCTTGGTTTAGGATGCCTGGGATCGTGATGCTGCCTGTAGTTAAGATGGGAGGGCAACTGATCCACCTGCAATGAAGAACACCAAGAAGGGCTACAATGTATATATAAGACTAGGGTACCACTAGCTCTGTTACTTAGACTGTAGCTATTTGGAGCTGGAGACATGGCTATTTGGAGCCATATTTTTGTTCTGTGATTGTAGAGAGTCTGGCACTCTGGGATCCAAGATCATCACTGGGACTCTGAGGTGTTTCAATAACAATAATAGAGATATTATGTCAGTGGGAACTAAATCTAACAAAATTTATACTTACTGAGATGGCCTGGCTGACAACAGAACCCTATAAAGGCAAAGCGCGTTCCCAGTTAACATGGGTGGGATGATCATGTGGTTAGACACTAGATTGGATTTGCTTCCTAACTGTCACTGGGCACATCTACATGTGCAATGAATGTGCCTGAATAAACACTGGTGCAGTTTACACCAGAGTTTATTGCTCCCAGGTCCACATTTACATGTCCGTCCAGAGTGCAACACATTGAGCCAAGGCAGTGCAGCCTCAGATGCCTGGAGGCCTGGAGGGTCAGCCTGCCAGCCCAGAGCTATTCCACCCCAGCTCAACGTACTGCAGAGGGGTGGCTGGGGCACGAGAGTATTACAGTTCTGAACTAGCCAGCAGGCAGCCCTACACTGTAGCACCCTTGTGCCCCAGCCAGCCCCAATCACTATCTACAAATGCATTGTGGCAGGGTAAATAACTCCACCATAGTGCTTGTGTTAGGTAGTACTAACCTATGGTGCAGTTAATTAGTTTACTCTGGCTTAATAGCTGCATGTGTGTAAATGGTGACACTTTACTGAAGAGCTCATTAGGCAGCTCTGCAGTAAGCATCTCATGTAGATTCTCCCACAGGCTCCTTGCTTTACCTTGCTCAAGTCCCTAAATCTCTTTATAGCTCAGTCCCCTTCTATAACCTGAGGATAATGACCCATTCTTTTCCCTATCCTTCTTATGTCTCATCTGTAAAGCGAACAGCACAGTATTATCATAATAACGCCTTGATCTTGGTTCAGGTCCGGGGCCACTGCCATAATACAAATATGGTTGTATCCCCTAGCTATATTTCTGTGCTTAAAGTTAAGCACGTGCCTAAACTTTGGCTGGATCCCTGGAGCTCATCCAAATAATCTGAATCTCTGGAGTCTGCAACACTGGTCTGGGAAGTCCATGAGAACAGTCTTTCTCACAAAATTCCACTTCTTCCTCTTTCCTGTCAAGCTGTAAATACTATGATTACAGACTCACTCCTCGTCTTTCTGATCTTCCCCCAGAACCAGAAAGCACAGAGGCAGTTGCAAACAATGGAGAAGAATAAGAGAGGAAGAGTGTTCACCTAAACTCTGTCAGGCTGGAGTAAATGAGTTTCCCTCCCATATGCATTGGGGTGCAGGCTGGTTATGCCAACGTGCTCCAGGTCAGCCTCAACTGCATCAAACTCCATGTCTACACAGCAAACTCCCTTCAGGCCCTCTAGTTGCTAGCACATGATAAAGCCTGTGCTGCTGCATCTTCACTGCTATTGTTACCTGTCTGGCTAAATCAAGCCAGTGCACAAATTCCAGCACATGCTACAATCCCACTTGCATGTTGCTTTGGAGACACACCCAATGTGTTCATTTAGGCTTTAATCATGAGAAGTGCTAAGCACCCAGAGCTCTCACTGAACCCCACTAACATCCTTCCAGTTGTCAGCAGCTTTCAAGATCAGCCCCTAAGCTTGAACCATGTCTAAATCCCCAGGCTGATCTCATGCCATTTTGTGGGACAGCACTGATCTTTTTATCTCAGCCCTGTCATTAGGGCCTGCTCATTGTTTCTGCCTCTGAGTTTATCTCTCACCTTTTTCATAGCTTGGTCCTTTAATGCTTGTACATCAGTTACATTATAAGAATCTCTGAACTCATTCTCCTCGCTACTCCGTTTACTTGATGATTTCCTGAGCCCAGTCACCAGCTGACTGTTTCCAGATGCCAGGTGTCTGCCACTTCCTGCAATTGAATGCACAGACTTAGTCACAGTTCACAAAGTGGCTGGGTATGGACTCCTCTGGGCAGTGCTGTCTACAGGTGGTGACCTGCCAATCCATATGAGAACTCAGGTTGATGTTCTTTCCCACTTGAAGTACCTGAGCCCTGGTCTTACCACAAATAGCTGAGGCTGCAGTCTCCAATGGAAAGAGGTGTTGTGTTAAGGTCAAGTAGATCTCCATACCACTGGCCCCTCTCCATCCCTCAGAGGGGACTTGTATTCACATGATACAAGGAGCAAAATCCTGGTCCCTTTGAAATCAATGACAAAATTCCTATTGGCCACAGTAGGGTCAGGATTTCATTCAAGGTGTGTCATACATGACAGACACCAACAGTAATGCCTGCAACACCCAGTTTGTGTATGGACTTGATCAGAGATGACCCTAGCAGGGTCCAGCATAAATCAGCCTGTGCGGGGCCCGGACATGAAGAAGCTGGTGGCAGCCAGATGCGAAGCCGGTGACAGCAGTGGCGGCATGGAGTCATCAGCATTAGGCATGCCCTGCAGAAGGGGCTGCAGATGCTCTGCCCGGCTCCATGGGGCCCCCTAAAGCCCTGATTTACCCTTCTCCCCCAGGTATGGCCCTGGACATGATACCTGTTTCCAATGAGATGTCTGACCAGGACAAGCTTTCTAATGAGCTTCTCAATAGCATTTTTGGCATTCTTCGTCATAGTCTGAAACCACGAGTTGGGAAGTGAAGGGAAAAAGCTACTGAAGCATCCATAACCTTAACCTTAGAGATGGGCCTCAACAGAACCCCTTGACAGTCAACATCATTTACATTCTGTCTGACTGTACCTGAGGAAGCTTGTTTTTGCTGTATATGTCCCTGTGTCTAAGAGACAGACCTAAATCTAACCTCACCCTTTCAACGTGTGGGCTAGTTTGTATTCAAACTTCCCAGCTGGTTGTATCCTTTATGACAGATCTAGACTCAACCCTCCAAACTTCTGGGAAAATCTGCATTGGAATAGAAAATTTGCAGCTGAGGTTTATCTCCATCTTACTTATAGAATACATTGCACCCAAGGTATGTGTTCTATGCCTGTTTGAGATGGTAGGCATCTCAAACAGGCATAGAACACATACCTTAGCTCAAATCACACCTTGTTTGGAGATCTTAAAGAATTGATAAGAAACTAACATACTCACTGGGCAATGGCAAGTTCCCACCAAAGATGCAGTCCCTCCAGCTGTCTACACTAGGAATAGAGCTATGTTGAAACACATTAACTAACCTACGTAAAAAGCCTTGTGTACTTTTAACATATATTAGCTAGCTGAGGTGAACCACTAGCAACCCCATAGAATATACCTGGATGAGCTAATATGGCTTAAAAACACATCTTTCCTTGTTTATACAAGGATTTTAACTTGTATCTGTTACATTTACAGATGGTAAATATACTTCTTTTTCCTGGTAAAGGTGAGGCCAGTGACTCAGGGACTTCAGACCCCCATAGATTTCAGATCATTCCACTTTTAAGTTATCTTCATTGCCTTTGTAAAATGAACACAAAGTGGGTATAACCCCCCTCCCCATCAACTAGATCTCACTGAGATGCATTTTAAATTCACTTTGCATAAACACTAATGACCACCAAAGTTGTGTGGCAATAGAAAATCAGGGAACTCATTTTCAGCTAGAGCCATCACTACTGCAATCTGTCAACATCAGAACTGAAACCTACCTCTGTAGTTGCTCAGCTTTTCGCTGTGGACTGCTATTTCTGGAATGATTGAAAGATCAGAGTGGTTTCCATTCTGAACCAAGAGACTATGAGGTCTGCTCCTCCCAGTAAAAAGTTTCTTCACCTCCTGGTACGAATTGAGCAAGATGCTGGCAGCTCCACAGGAGCAGTGCTGCAGAAAATACTCCTACACCAGAAAAGGAGAAAAATATGCAAGTTGTTACACTGTAATGGCTGGGTAACTGAGAAGTGAGATTGTATGGACAAATTGCAAGCATTCCAAACCGGTTCTTATCCCAAGACCTGTCAGGACTCAGACAAATGTATGTAAGTCTTTCAAAATGGCCTAGCAACTAGGAAGCTAGAGATAAATTTCTCTGTAGCTTGGGATTTTTTGCCCCAATGATTCTGGAATGAATTCACGTTTAAAAAATCAGTGGCTGGGGTTTTCAGCCAAGATAAATTGGGGTTTTCTTAAAACTGTAAAATTAAAGCAGAACTGATGTTTAAACAGCCTCCTGTTGACACGAGCCAGGGGAATCAGTAGAGGAATAAGTTTTAATAAGTTTTTAACATGTTTAACAATTTCTTTGCCTCCGTCTTCCTAAGTAGGGACCAGAACAGCAACCTCCCAGCTGGACCCCCTTCAGGCCCCGGGGGAGGCACACCTGGGCCAAGGGTTAGCGAGGACTTAGTTAGGGAGCTTCTGGAGGGGCTGGGCGTATTCAAGTCAGCCGGTCCGGATGATCTCCACCCTAGAGTTCTAAAGGAACTGGCCAAGGTCATTGCAGGTCCCCTGGCACAGCTTTATGAGCACTCATGGTGCACTGGAGAGGTGCCGGAGGACTGGAAGAGGGCCAATGTGGTTCCAATCTTCAAAAAAGAGAGGAAGGAGGACCCAGGAAACTATAGGCCAGTTAGTCTTACCTCGATCCTAGGCAAGCTGTTTGAGAAAAT